ACGATTCAGCTCCACTTAACTAATGCGCATGCGCTACTAATTAATTCAGTTCTCACTTCGCGGCAAGGCAAAAATGTATAAAAATTCAAAATATTTTCATTAAAATTTGAAAGATATTGAAAACCAGGAACACCAAGTACAGTTAAAACAATTAAAAAAAGAAACAGTTTTTACGATTAAAATTGCAACGCAAAAACAATCTAATAACTTAAATGATAATTCCAGAATCAATTAAGTATAATTTAATTCGCAATAATAAAAGAAGACGTTACTTTGTTGTTGCGAAGCTTAGTTTTTCTAGATTGGCATTAAATCCACTATTCTGTTAAGTTTCAAATATAAACAAACATGGCGGCCATGGTAATAAAAAATTAGGCTTAACCGCACTTAAACTTTTAATTTGTTGATAATTCCACAATTATTGCATGCAGGTTAACTAAAGACTAAAAAACTGGTTTGAATGCACACAGAACCCATAAAATCGTGATGAAGTTTATTTTTCCGAAATCACTTCACAGTTCTGAAACTTTTCAAACAAAAGTTCTTGTACATCTCTTCTAAGAATAACAGAGCACAATCAGTAGTAACCACTTCAAACTACTAAGAAGGTTGAACACAAGTATATAAAATGCCTCAAATGAGTAAGCTCTCACATTTCTTTCTCAATACTTCTGAGCTAGACTCAATACTCCTGAGAACTAAACTAAAATTTGATGCTCTTCTCGTTTTGTAGAGTTTTTCTTAATCCATCGAGAAATTCAAAGTTCCTCCAATTTCCCGAAATTGCTGGAGACCATAGTTACACTTATATAAGGCCATACATACAGGTATAGTTACATGGGTATCGGAATAGTTATAGTTACGCAGGTATTGGTCAAAAATGTCGCCAAATGCCTCTTCCCAAGGTTTGGCGCCTTTTTGCAATTTCATACCAAATTGGGCGACAAAAATTAGTTACCTAAACCGTCGCTAACTTGGCGACATAGCCATTTATCTAAACATTAAGTGGACCTTAAGTTTGCAACCATGTAACCTTAAGTTTTCCCGCAGTGTTTCGCACTCTTGAGGCCTTTCATGTTACATCATACAAGAGATACTACAATTTATATATAATCTCACTTAAATTATTTACATATGTGCAAAATTCATTACAATATCATATAAATAAATGGTAAGTAATAAAATTCTATAAATTAAAAAATCTACAACTGGCACGATTTTTTTTTCCCTCGATAGAAAAGCTACAGTTTTTTACAACATACATAAAGCTACATTTCAAGTCTGACATGAAAAAGTGAATAGTTAAAATAGTAATCAATCATTTCTTCATTTAGATTATTAATATATCAATTCACCATATTTCATGCTCTAATCAATACTCTAAATATATTAATGTTGATTTTCTGTAAGACTGGTTTTTATGTTTATTTCGCAGTGTTTACTTACTTTTAATTTTATTACGTAAAATTTCACTTTCAGATTAACTTAAAACAAAACATTATTTTGCATCTAATTACTTTCCTTAGCACTACAATTTCTTAGTTTCGTCTTTAAAAAATAAATACAATTTACTGCCGAGATAATTTTCATTTTTAAGAGTTACTACGTTAATTTCCAAGTTTTTAGCTCCAATGAGAGCCTTAACTCTCTTTTTGAAACGTGTAAGTCACTTTATTAAGCTTGAATGAATGAATCTATGAAGCATAATAAAGGTCAATAAACCTTTATTATGCTTCATAGAGTATCAAACATTTTTTGATTTATCTTATTTTTAAACAATAAATTAAAAAATTGACTTTATGATTATACTAGCAAATCATTTCTACTCAAAATGTTTTCTGAAATTGCTGTATATTTATCCGAAAACATTTAACCGAAACGCGTTAGTGTTTGCAACATATACTTTATTTATGCATAGTTTGGACTATTTTTGTATTTTATTCAATTGTTTTGCTACTTGGTTTTATAAATTATGAGCTATATTAATAAGTATATTATTAGTACCTTAACTATAAAATAAGTTTATACTTGTCAATACAGTATATTTTTACTCTGTATTAATAATGTAAAAAACAATCTTTTGTAAAAAATTACATTTTATAATTCTAGAAGATTCATTAATAGTGGACTTTTGAATCATTTACAAGTGCAATAAATAATTAAACAAAGAGAACTTATAGATTCATTCCTACATTCTGCTATCCTTTATAGTAAATTCTCCAGTTAGTGATCTTTTTAATACATGACATTTTGAAACTGAATGATTAGAGAAAACGAAAAAATCATAAAAGCAGTTGCACAAACTTGTATTTTTACGATTTACCAAGCCTATTTTCTATGTATCGTTTACAAACTTGTACCTACTGTGTACCACTCTCCTTCATTTATCACATATGCAATAGTCTTTAAAATTTCGCACTAGTCAAAAGGTAATATATTAATCGAATATGTATGCTTGCCGTTATCTAATTCAAATAAATCCGAATAAGGAATGGCAGCTTGATGTATCTGTTCGCAGTAGTCGCTTCGCATAGCGTTACCCAAGCTACAGTTTAAATGAATAAGAGAATTATCATGTAGTTTATCGGAACTTTATTCCTACCAATTCTAGAATTTTTCATTCGAAACTTCGTGAGGAATTATCTAATACTTAACCTATATAAATGGCGTTGTATTATTTTGTATAACGATTATTCCAAGCATAAATGTGTAATAAACCTGCATTTATTGCAAATACTATAAAAGTTAACAGTTTTGACAGAAGTGAACATTCAATCGAATTGTTGAAAAGCAGCTTCATTCCACTCAGTTTGCAGATTTTGCCATGATAGGAAGTGCCATGATCAAATCCCCAAATATATTTTTATTCTATGTTATTCAGAATAACATGGTAACAATAAGAATATCATTCCAACATGCATATTATTTATCAACAGTAATTTTGGAGAATGGTGTTTCAGAGTGTATATTTATTGGACTTGAATATTCGAACGTCTAATTGTTCATAACTTCTATACTTAAAACTATCAGAAGTTTCATAATGGGTGTCCCAACAAAAGCGTCGATTTTAATGTGCCCCCAAGAATACTTTATGCGAGGCAAGATTATGTTCAGAAAATAAAAATTATTTTTCCATATTTAAACAGACAAATGCTCCGACTTTACGAATATTGAGTTTGATTTCACCTTGCAAACTGATATTTTATCACTCAGCGCGGCTTTTTTGCGAGGTAGTCTAGGTGGATTCGTTAGGCAATAGGACAGCAAGTTTCGATTGTGAAACTCTTTATCAGAATGAAGAATGTTATGCACAGAGTGTTAGGTAGCTTCGTGTATCCTTTGGACGTAATAGTAAAATTTCTAGAAGTAAATAACGATAAAAAAATGAAAACAATTATATAACTTTATGGATAACTGGTGCTTGTTAAATGAGGAATAAAATTACCTCGAAGAAAAATCTCAAATCGATACTTTAGAAAATTAAATTCTATAAAGCAAATTTTTAAAAATAATAGAAATAAACTTATAAGCTCTTTTATATTAATAAATAACATTATACAATTAAAAGTTCATTATGCCATTAAAAGCTTTCATAGACTGCGTCGTTTGTTCTAGAAAGGGAAAACGAAATACAATAAGCCATTTTTTAAGAGGTACGTTTCTTTATGAAATAAATAGAGAATGCAACTCATATTGGTTTCATTAGCTCTAACTCAGAATTAGAAACGAATTTTCTCTTAACACTCTTGAAATCTAATGAAGATTATTTATTTTACAATTGTAATTTCTTAATTGACTACTTCCAGCTAATTGCAAGGTAATGACAATTTAGTAGATTTTTTCTGAAGTATTATGCTGATATACTTAGTTGGTTAGTTTGGTTTGTTTAATTATGGCAAATCACTCAAGGCCTATCTGCCGAACGAAAGGGATGCGTGTGGACGACTTTCTAACGGAAACTGACTCGTATACACGTTACACATGGGGAAAACTATGAAAATGCCTATTCAGCCATCACGTTCGCCTAGAATCGAACCCAAGTCAGAACAACCAGTGTTTAGCAAATTTACTTCTCGGCAGGTTGGTGGGCAATAGTATAGTTGGAATTGTGCGTTTTTTAAACACTTTTTGAGTACTGATGGTTTGTACTTTATGTGAATCAGATTTCCATATTTCCATTAAAATCAAATCGTAGCCATTGTGCCATCTGCTAGTTTCAAAATCCGTTATAGTACCATTTTGCCTAATGGTGATGTATCAAAATCAATCTTCTGCTCTCTAGAATGTAATCTGCTGTGTAAATTCTGCTTCTAGGGAAGATTCTAACTATCCTATAAGAGTTTTAAGAGTTTTTATTTTTTTAAATATTACTATTTTAAATGAGTCTATACAAAATTTAATTTATGCAAAAGTTACAGAAATTTATTTGAAAGAAAAACACACGAACAAAGCTATGTTAAACCATTAATCGGTTATTCTTTGCAATATATAGAATTATTATAATTTATTTTATCAAAAATTATATGCAGAAAATGTTAATTAAAATTGTTATTATTAAAAGTACGTAAAATGAAGAAATACTGAAAACTTTCACGAAGATAAAATTTGTGTCGCTGTCTGTTTAATAACTTTAATTTTGTTTTTTGTTAAGCTAATAAATATATTTAGCGTTTCACATAAATTAATTGAATCATAAATATTTTTTTAAGTTATGCAGTAACCATAAAATTTATGTGTTAGTCTATTAAAATTAAGTACGGTAAATAAATGTGTATTAATTTCATACGATCCTTATTAAAAATTAAATTTTAGCCTAATTTCCTGCCTTGTTACATTAAAAACAGGTGCAGGCCTTTTAACTGTTTATGTGACTATAAATATTTATTTTGTTTGCATTAGCATAACTATTATGGCTAACAAAATCGAAAATATACTTAATGTTACTTGTGTTTCCTTCTGAAAGCTATCATGACTTCACTTCTCAAATCTTTATATTTTAGGTATCCCTCGCCAATCAAAAAGGAACCCAATGATAGTTTAGTTGACGGAAATGAAAAGAGTCCAGATATTATCCCACTTCCTAATGATATTGAAGGTGAGAATTATTCATTTCTGAATTTAATTTAACACGATGATTATTGAGCTGAAGTGCTACTGTGTTTAACTATTGCTTGTATCTACCTATGTTGCCTCTCTGTTTTGATAGAGATAAGCTCAGTTGCCCAGTTATACAGAAGATTACCAAGGAATTAATGTTGACCATTTCAAATATTTTTAATACCGATATTCTTAGTTTCATCGTTAGGGAATATTTTATTACCTAACGATAAAATTAAGTGTATCCAACATCACTTAATTTTAGCTTTCATAGTTATCCTATCTGTGCAACTTCTAGAGCCAAAATTATTTGCTACTGATATTAACAAAATGGTATTATCTAATGAAGCTCGAGAATGTTTTACTGCATTATTACTACTTCCTTATTATTTACACTACTGGGTCTTCCAAAATGCAACACAGTGAATAAACATCCAAACAGTATGAAACTTGCATCATTCGTATAATGTGATGGAATATGCAAATGATTACGAATTCAGCGTATGTGCACATCAAGGACAACTGCAGTACATCCGTATATAAAAGGTAAAAATATTGCCGTTTTGAATAACGTGAATTGTTCTCTTGCGAGAGTTTTTGTATGTGCACCTTTAATATGCCTGCCTCGTAGATAAACATGAGCATCATTCAAGCACGTTTCTGAGTTCGCCGGAGCTAGAATCGCTGCATAGAGACTGCGGATTATCCTTCCAGAAATCGGTCATCGTGTTGGACGTAGCCAAGCAACAGTCATAAGAATATGGAATCGGTGGATGTAGGAGCGAACAACTGACGAACAGGAGCAAATGCAACCGGGTCGTCGCACCATTCCATAAGAAGACAGGCATATTGTGCGCATGGCACTGATAAAGAGCACTGCGAGGTCTTCCACTTCATCACAACGAACGCAGTCTGTAACATAACAATCGATGTCTGCACGGACAATTCGACGTCCTTTACAGTATAATGGATTGTCCACTAGACGTCCATTGCTTCTCTTTAACGTAAAACCACATACTTTTGACTTGTGCGTTGAACGGTGGAGGTGGACATCCGAATGGCATGACATTGTGTTTTCGGTCAAAACAATCTTCTGCCTGTAGTACGACGACGGTTGGATTTGAGTTTGAAGACGCTGTGGAGGAAGGCTGCTCGACTGCTATGCATAGTCATTCTGGTCCTGCACCTGTTGTTATGTTATGGAGTGGTATGATTCCACCCTCGCACCCTATATTATGCATTTATTACATACCAGCAAACGCTATATCTCTGAGGGTTTACATCCTGTCCTAACTCCTTGCCTGAGGCCACATTTGAACAATACGAATTCAACAATTCAAAGTACGCGAGCACACCTTGCAAAGTTCAGGCTTTCTTATTAGCCCAACATATTGCATTGTTAACTTGGCTCGCCTGTTCACCAGACCTATCGCCCATGGAATATATCTCGTCAATAACCAGAGCACGCCATGCTCGCAATACCGCAACCGCAGGTACATAGGATGAATTTTTGCTACGCGTGGAGGCACTATTCCCATCAACACATCCAAAGACTTTTTCATTCAATGCCAAGTCCTGTAAGCAGTGGTTATTGACAAATATGGAGGCAACAATAATTACTGATTTTCTTGTCTTTCTCACCTCAAAGATGCCTATATTTCAAATCAGTCAAAACTGATTATCACTTAAAATTACTTCAAAAGAATAACATGCATAATTTCCGAAATAAATTTGGCTTTGATACTTCTCGTCTTTCGTTTTATTACACTTTGGATAACCAGCAGTGTATTAAAAAATTAAATGAATTACTAACTACTTAAACTAAAAACTAAAAATTACTTAAACTAAAAATTGTTTAAATGTCGATGTAATAATAATGTCTAAAATGCTTATGTATTTGTTAGGAGAGCAAAGAAAAAAAATTAATGAAAATATTACCAAATGTACTTATAAAGATATAAGTTTATCACTTGTTGGAAATTCAAGTTGGTGAAAAACAAAATATAGTCTAAATAAAATGTATTCTCACATTTGATAAACACGCATATAAGCAGTATTTTATATATATAGAAAATGCACATTTGTTGAGGTAGATCTGGAAGTTATTTATTTCACAATACCTAAAACAAGATGATAACAAACAGTGTTTTTCCCCATTTATAGAACAATCTCTTAAGCCTCTTAAAATTATCTTACTAACTGACGATGTCCGTGACGCGTAAATTTTATAAAAATGTGATGAAATTACTTGTCCATAACGCTTTATTTAAAAGGGCAATTTATGTTACTTAGATGTAATACTTGTATAATTTCATTTTTAATCTATTGCAGTAGTATACATGGGATGTTTACAGAGTTTTAATAACTGAAATCTGGTTCAATTCCTAGAACTCATAATCAACACTGTCGGCCAGAGACCAGTCTTGATATGTTTATGCAGCTACCTCGCACAATATTGATTAGTCAAATTAAGTTGTTTGACTGACATAGGCGGGCATTTTTAGCACACCGTTTTGCAGCCATTAGAGATCCAAACAGGAAACCTTTTTGCCTTTAAAGAAACAATGTATGAAATCTTCAGAAATTATTCAATTTCTAAAAATATTATGTTCTCCCATTTTGGAAAAAAGAAAAAAAAGGAAAAAGCATGTACGGTCGTTTAACCATTCCATAAGGAGAAGGACACGAGATACTAAAAACGTTCTTTGAGAACTGCTTAAAAATTACATTTTCATTTGGATATGTGTATTCATTTAAAGTGGATTTATGTTGGAAAATTTATGTTGTGATATCGATGGAAATTGACGAAATAAAACATTATGTACAAATCCCTAGAAAACTTTGGTAACATCCTACATATAGTATAACTATAATACCTAACAGTTTTAAAGTACAATTTTGTTTAGCATTTGCTAATATTTTCTTTCTTTTCTTTAACACCTGCCCAGTTTACGCAGCATCAGTCGCTGTGGAAATGTGTTCAGCATCTCCCAGGTTACCAAAGCAAACTGCAGAAGTTTACTACACTGTCGAAAGTCAAACTTGCGTGTAGTAGACATTTTACCACTTCAAAGGTAAGACGTTACCTTATTACAGCAACGAAGTAAACATAATTTTATACTCAGTCTTAAACAGCTTAAAATGATTTATCCCGAGAGCATACAGCTTTTAACGTTTCTGTACTGCATCTGTTTCTGTTAAATTATTAACAGACATTCATATTAATAAGCTGCAAGAAAGTATACTCTCGTTTCATGTATTATAAATCAAAATATGAAAATTCAAATATGTTATGAGAAATTATGTAGAAAAGCAAGTGCTAAAATAATAACAAAGTGCTCAGTATTGCGAATAATTACGCAAAGCTTTAGAAATATTAGTAATGCCACTTTATTAACAAAGTAGAATTTTCTTTCAAAAGAAAAAAATGATTAATTGAAGCAGAAAAATAAATACAGTAGGTATTTAATATCGTTCATTACAAAAGCATCCATTATGTTTGGAACTTTAGCATTACATATTATCAGCCTAAAAGTTTACGGTACCGCAGAACGGTATTTGTACTGATGGAACAAAAGGAAATTGCATATAGTAATTCTGTAAACGTCTTTAGTGATTTTATCATATTAGGAAACAAATTATTTCATAGTTTAATTTTATTTATCCAGATTTATCGTTACAATTTTATCGTTGTCAGTGCTTAAGGTTTTTCAAAATTAAATTCCAGTATGGTTATTTATCATATATAGAGAGAACAGGATACTATAGAACTAACTATTTGTTCAATATTTATAACTTTTGCTTTTTTCCGGCGGATGTAATTTGAGTTTATTAATACTCGAAGGGACTCACAATAAATTATCTTGTCTTGTGGCTGATATCATGAAAAGTACTATATTGTGCGAATTAATTGGGACGAGGCGATAGTTTTGATAATGTATATACGTAACTTCCTATGCAGCGATAATAATAAAATGAGAAAAATACAAGTATATCGTCCTTTAGCGCAAATGATCTTTATAATGCGTTTATTCGTTGACTCTACTAGTCTTGTGCATATAATTTTTACTTCTTTATCATGGATCTATACGTTTATAGCATTCTTAATCATGTCGTTTTTGTCCTACAGTCCACTTTGTTAAGACATTCCTTGAAAATTTGCCACAAGTTTCGAACGAATCTAAGTCAGGCCAATCTAGTGCAATAATTTTATTTGTTAACATGAACCTTCTGATATAGTTTGAATTGTCGCATGGAACCAAGTAATGTTAAAATGTCTCTGCAATGTTTACGAGAACGACATTATCCTTTGTTTTAAAATGTCTATATACTTCAATAAATTCATCACTTCATCATTAGAAACTAGATTGCCAATGACATATGCACGGACAAAACTGCAAAATATTTGTTTTTGAGTTTATTTTCCGGTTTGTCGGATATAATGAGGTCCTATTGAAATATTACTTCGTCTAACAAGGTTAGATGAGTAGCCATGAACTTGTATTTTTCGTCCCTCAATAATCACTTTGCTTCAAATAAATGGTTAAAACTGGTTTATTAATAAGCTTTCTCACGTTCCGACCAGCAGAGAGTAGTCTACGCTATACGTATAAGGAATGGATACCAATACCAGTAGACAATAGGTCCCTTTTTGTTGTCTTTGTTAGTTTTTATTTGATTAATAATGTCATTTGAGAGCAGGCAGCAAACAAGTTTTCGAGTTTTTATCCTTTTCTTCCACATTTAAGCTTTCTTTCTGCTGAAAATGATCTAGTTTCACTCTCTCTCTTCATAATTAGAGAAATGTTTGATTTTCCAACGCCAGCCACGAAAGCAATATTTGTTACAGTCAGGGGCGTGTGACTGTTAAGTGAGATAAACCTTTCTATCCAGGCGCTATATACATTTACCAGGCTCTAAATACATTTTTAATACACAAATGCAATTTTTATGCAAATTTTGCAAAAGCAGATTTCTTTTCTCACAGAAACAAGCTTTAAAATGGTACAATAATCCTAATTTATTTGTAAACCAGTTTTAAGTACACAAAAGCAGACGACTAGATGACATTAAGGCAGATAAAACTGCTTTGAGAAACTTACTAGGGCCATCTGGCAATTAAATTTAAATTATGTTATAAGATATTCCTCCCGCCTTCCTAGCGTGCCTTCGTGGTGTAGTGGTTCTGCACGTTGGGCCGGTATTCCAGACGTCCGTGGTTCGATTCCCGGCAAAGGCGGTTGTTAGGTTTTCATCTCTCCGGCCTCCAAAAATAATCCTAATGTCTCAACAGTCGCGCCCGAACTAAAAGGATGTTGGATGATTATTTTCCTCACCCAGGATTTGGCGATTGGGTCCCCTAAAAACCCTAAAGGGGAGAGTATACAAGGTATTTCTCCCTCCTTCTTAGCGTGCCTTCGTGGTGTAGTAGCTCTACACGCTGGGTCGGTATTCCACAGGTTCGTAGTTCAATTCCCAGCGAAGGTGTTTGTTAATTTTTCATCTCTCCGGCTTTTCCCAATTAACCTAATGTCTCTACAATGTGAAAAAAATTGCTTCGTTCCAATTAATTTGCACACTATACCGCATGAACCCGGTTCCAAACCCCTCCATTAAGAATACGCCTACTGCCATACACACTGTAACTTACAGATGAGTGGGAAACAGTTCACCTTAGAGAAAGTTCACGAAGGTAGCCTTCCCTTTAGACAGATAACTCTAATAGGATTTATCAAACTTTAATAATAATAAGAGGTTCATTTCTTTAAAGCATTGTAGTTTATTCGAGATAGATCTCCGAAGGTTAAATGGGAGCTTTTGTAGTTATTTTAATACGTAATGTTAGAATGAACATTTTTATTCACTACACAACATTGAAAATGTAACATGCGACAAGCGACAGAGGACGTGGACACAACTCCTCTACCCATACGATTAATCGGTATTATATTTTCCATTAAATTTTACTCAAATGATAAATAATAGAACATGTTAATTTGCCTCCCCCGAAAAAATTGCCGATCTTTGGATATTTTTTGAAGAAAATGAATTTTTTATCTAATGATACTTGCAATTAAATAGGAAGCAATTAAGAAAAAAAATTACATTAAGTAACAGTTTGCCATTTAATGCCATGAAGAGTAACATAATAAATCCCTCCTACAGCCCCTCCCCAAAAAATCTCCCCATAAAATATATTCATTATTTTAAAAATTAACGAAAAAGCACTTTAATACCCGCAGCTAAAATTAACGAGCTACGTAAAACATGCCATAAATAGAAGATGAAATTACGTCCTTATGAATTATACTTCGCGTTATCTAGCAAATGTTTTATGAGCGAAGATGTTATTAAAATTTGCCAATAAGTACGTGTAACTGAATTCGCTAAAACAGAGGTCGTAACAAAATGGTGTCTTTTTTTATATGTCTAACTTTTAATAAATATAAGCATTACGAAATATTTCCTAGCATAATTTCTGTTCTCCCGCTGAAATCGGTTAAACTTTTGTCACATAATTATTGAGGACAGAGGGTCACTGCAATGTTTTAATCATCATGATGGTAATAATAATTTTTCAATAAATTTTTCTACTTACATGAAAACAATACTAAATAACACTCACAATAAAACGTTATTTTAAATTATATTGTCTTTTTGCTATTTTATGCAAATTAAGCAGTTTCCGTTATTGCTTCACAGTAAATAAAATCATTTAAATCTTCAAGTAATACATATCGTATTTTTATTTCAAAGTATACTTTTATTTAAAACATTAGCATTACTTGTCTTAATTTTTGTTAAAATTTGTATTCATTAACTTACAGCTATCACTGAATCTGCATAACGGCACTTAGGTGTGAAATTGATTATAATTAAGTGTGAATGAGTGACGTATGAAACAATCGTCAAATATACAAAGATTATTTATATTTAAAACAGTTACATAATTTGAGTAAAAGATATTGAGTTTAACATAAACACGTTTGATCCAATAGTAGAACCACAAAGCAATATTTTTCCCGCCAAAGTGAATTGAGCTTGAGATGAACTACTTGATATAGGCATTAGTTTTAGAAGTATAACAGCAGAAATAATAGCTATTACATTTTACATTATTATCCATCACGCCACTTTGAATTTGTAACCTGATTGAAGGGAAATGCATATTAACGTTTTGTATTTAGTAAACTAAGATATGAGTATTTTGCTGTTCCACACAGCAAAAATATGTTTTTGTGATTCGTCTGACTGATGTATCAGCTTTATGTTTTGAACTTTTCTTTTCCGATTCAACTGAATAGAGATATTAAATTCTTTCCTAAGCGATCTTTTATTAATGCGGAGAGATAACAAAATTATAGTTAATATGGGCGTTCAATTATAATTTTCTGCAAAACTTATGGAAATAAATTAATATACATTTATTGAGGCACTTAAAATAAATATGCACATCATGTTCAAGTTAAAATTAGACTTGTAAATGTAAAAAAAAAAAAAAAATGTAGGAGGTTAAATTGTTTATTCAGAGAAAGCACAAAAACTTTGAAAGCAAAAATGAGTGCCCAGAATTCTTTAAGAGAAACAGTTGTTGAACACTGTTATAATGCGTATTGCACTGTGATTGTTGTTTTGCAAGGACATAATTTATTCTTGGCATTTCGATTTTAACAGGTGCTTTTTACAGAATGAGGTACCATTTCACCTACGTGGATATATATGTTTCCAAAATTATCGAACATTTAGGTTTCAAAACTTGCATCTTTTGTTAAGCCTTCTCATCACTTTGCGAAATTGTTGTTTGGCGATGAATGAGTTATGGTCAAAGGAATTGAATTACTCGCTTCCTGTTCATTGAAATAAAAATATATATTGGGTTCTAGCAGATAACGTTTAGCAGTTTGTTTGACTTTGGCGCAAGAGATGAATATCACTTGTAGTTGTCGTAGCTGGTGATACTTCTTGGCAACAGAACCGCATCTAAATCAATATGGCTGCCCCGCTTTTCAACTCTTGCCCATCTAGATGACTTTTTGGGTTGATTGTTAAAATAAACTGTGTCCATAATCAACAGCCATACGTTAAAGAGCTGAAAAGGAAAATTTCTGTTATCGCCCAGGGTACAAATAAGAAAAAGCTTTTTCATGTGCTTACGAACATGGTAAACCCTGTAGACAGAAGCACTAAATTAGAGAGGCCCCCATTTACAGCATATGCTGTAAGAACGTATTGTATGATTGTAGGTTAAATTATTGTTTCTACAAACTTTTGAATTTCTAATTATACATCTTACATACATTTACAGATAACAGGATAAATAACAGGAAATTCCTATTTTAAAAATTTAGTTATATTAATCATTTTTACAACTTTTGTTTTAATATATAAAATGCTTATTTTGAATCTTAATTTTAATAATTTATTCGAGGTTTTTAGGTAAATAACAGAAATTTCTTAGCTGTATGTACAAAACAACTTTCAGCATTTTAATATTTCTTTACATGAAGAAGTTTAGAGCAAAAGAGATAAAGAAAGGTTCAATAGTTTCTTTCATGTATTACTAATTAAATCAATCTAAAATAGATTATAAAGGAAATTACACAGAAATATATGAAAATGTGATGATGACACTGGAAATGTTTCTTGGGTCTCATATTAGTTTGCTTATTTAAGATATTAATGCATTTCTATGTTTCAGTCAATCCAACAGCCTTGCGACTCCCAACACAATTTAAAATGACAAAGGACCTGCTTTTGAGATGAACCAAAGCTAACTCAACTGTTTATTGTCGTTTCCTTTGCAGAAGAAAACATATGAAAGGGCCCAGTAAGACATATTCTTTTTTTTTTCACACTTTTAAGTCTATTAAAAATACTGAAAAATATTGACAAATTTTAAATTCTTCTGAGAAATTATATGTGTTCTGTTTTGAGAAACACGTCATCTCCAGAGAAATATAAATATGCTATTTTCGTTGAATGAAACAAGATTCGAGTTTGTTTTCTATGCATTAATATACTTAATGCGGATTTTTATTCTAAATGCACATTTTACGAAATGTAAAGTCCGCACATCCCCTTAAAGTTTATCTAGTAACTGAACTGACTAGAAATTTTCTTTGGAATTCACGTACACCGAACCGACTGTTATTTACTTTTAAACTTGACTCAGTAGTTGCTAAAAGATACAATGTACCTCAACGTATTCAACCGTTGCATATAAATAATATTAAGTATTATTGGAATGGAGATCTCACATAGTGTTCTTTCCCAGTTGCACTTAAATATTTTCTTTCGTCGCAATGCGATTTTCGCCATCTTATGGAAGAGAAGAAAGTACAATAAAAATGTTCACAGCATGAATAATAAAATACAAAGAAATAAAAAACAAACAATTAAGATGTGACGAATACAGAGGATAAAAAGCAATTTGTATAATACGTGTAATAAAGAATTATAAGAAATATTACCAAATCTGTAATACTAAAATCAAATAATATTATTATAATCAAATAATAATATTAAAAAAAGTAGAAATCTTTCAGTCTGAGGAAAATTCAGAATATTAAAATATTCGTGCTACATGAATACAAAATGATACTCAAACTTTCGTAGATTTACTGAATTCTTCAGCAGTGAGTACAATGTGTACAACGCACAAAATTGAACAATAAATACAACTGTGCTGTACAACGAGCACAAATGCAGTACAATGAGTACAAAGTTTGAGTATTTGAATACAGTGCACATATCTTTTGTTATAGTGAATGTCTTTGTATTTCCATTACTAGAAACAATTATAATGCATATGTGAAGGCTTTTACCTTGAAGTTCTAAAATTAAGAAATCATTTGCGAACAATTAAAATTTTTATAGATTCTGAAATATTCAGTTAAACACTTCACATAAACGTTATGCTGTTAAATTAAAATAAAATTGTATTTATATTTATGTAGTAAAAAGACGTAGAACGCTAGACATATGTTACTAAAATATTTTCAAAATTTTTATATTTTTCATCCATTCTAGTAATTTTTCTTTGTTTTCGATGAAAAAAGAATTCAAGAATTATTTTTAGATTTATGGATCTAAATTTGATATTTAAAACGTTTTCGAAATGTATATTAGACAAAAGTTTTGGATATTGAATATCAAAATAAACATAAGGAAAGCTATGATTTTTGTAATTATTATACTGTGTAGGAAATAGTTACAGTACCTAGAATATACACTCAAACATATCGTACTTATTAAAGATGTATAATTTGGAGATCTGAATTTGAATATTCACTCTTGATATAACTTTTAAAACATGATTTCTAGTATACGTAGAGTCTATAGTAAGTGATGTATGACGTTGCTACCCTCATATATGTTGGATTCTTCTTTATTAATAATATTGAGAGTACTTGAATGAGGGAAATAAAGGGGCAAAATTGTATCATACTTCCAATTACTTCACCAATTTCGACTGAACTGAATGAAAAACGAAGTTATTATTGAATATTTTCATTATTAAATATCTGTACATCACTCTGGATGTTAAATCTAAAAGGGTGAATATCTGCATGTAGATATAATGGTCAAAAAAAGCCTTTAACTTTGCATTAATGAACTTGGATTGGTTAAAGCATTCATCAAATTGAAAATCTATATGCAGGAAGAAACTTGATCTAAAAATTAACTTTGGTCGAAATAGTTTGGAGAGCAGATTTCTAGTAGTCTCATATTATTCCAAGACCCCAAAACTTGCAGTTAGTGTAGTATTGCCAGAACCTAAGCAATAAAAAGTTTCGAGGATGACAGAACATCTTCTCTACGACCAATAAAGCATTTTCATTTCGTGAGTTCAACTAACGAATGAAATCAATAACCATACTGAGAACGGAAAATTCCAAGAAACAAATTCCTCTCATTGGATGCTTCAGTAAATTTTGAGTATGGTAACAGTTAAATACCACAAATGCAATGCTATTCGCACGTTTTCGTTATATGATTTTCCACAGCGAGTTTATTGATTTACTTAAAATAATGTTAATAGAGATGCATTCAATGTATGTCGAAACGACGAATTTTCTCTTTTTGTTCAGCTACCATAATGATTTTTCTCAGATTTTGAAATAATATATTTTTATATTCATGTGATCTACGCTGGTAATAATGAGATTTATTTTTATTTTCAAATATTTTGACTACTTTGTTACAATGTCATTACAATATACATCTAAATATTACCACTTTGAAATGTAATTTAAATATCATTTAGTTATCTGTATATATACAGATATATCTGTATATACAGATATATCTGTATATACAGATATATCTGTATATACACAGCTTTATACTAAATAGAGATTTGACTAAATATGCACAAAATATATGAAAACCTCAGTTTGAACTTTGTCTCAGACACCTCTAGTGAACAGTTTGAAATATCGTACCGACGAAATATCTCAGTATAGTTCCATTGCAAAACCATTGACTGACTTCCAGTTTTATCTTGATAACATGAGTTAGCTAGAGATTTACAACCACAAAAAATGTGAAAATTTCCATTATTATTAACCCGGTTATTTTTTAGTAAAACTGACAGCATAGTTCAAATATTTAATTATAAAAGCTATATATTATTATTATTACTTTTTATGCTAAAGTAAAAGTTTAATTTTGACATCTATATGCTTGGGAAGGAAACTTGGAAGGTCTTTGAAATGATAGATTTCAAATATATGATCAAACTGAGGTACAGTGCACATAAAATGTTTTAGTTACAGAATTACTTAAAATTTACATTGATAATTACACATTTATTCAGAAATTTAAGTCAATCTATATTTATTCTAATATTTAGGGCTAAAAAGTGTGAACAAATATTATTTAAGTTTAAATTCAATAATTATGTAGCGTACTTTTAAACTAAATCAGAACGTCAGTAATTTAAAATTTTTATTTCAACTTTGCAGAGTATAATTAAGACACAATAACACGCCGAATAAATACTAATTCAGAAGTCAAACAACAAAAATCAGCGTTATATTTACAAAATTTTCACAGGACTAGTTTCGAGGTTTTACCGAACCACCATCTTCAGCTGCAAAACCGCAAATGAAATTTGCGCGGAAATTTCATTTGCGGTTTTGCAGCTGAAGATGGAAGATGAACAAGATTTTTCTTGAAACCATGATAGTTCGAAGATAGAGGTAATGGTAGACATTATGACTGATATGATATATCAGTCATAATGTCTTTCATATGATATGAAACATAGATAGAGGTAATGGTAGACATTATGACTGCTTATTTCGTCTGTGCAGCGTTTTTGTCAGACGTGGAAGGAGATTTCCCCGCCCTCTACATCCATTTCGGAATCTGTGCCTTCAGAGCTCAAGTTTTCAGTATAGCTGATGCCCTGGTTTGTTGTAATATATTTGAGTTTGTTTTTTCGTTTTTGTGTCTGCTGATTTCGTATTTATTGTTTCGTTAGTATCTTTTGTGGTTTTGGAATTGAAAAAAAAAATTGGTGCCTCCACCAGGAAAACGTTTTTCTGCACTGTGATATCAGTTTCGGTGGCTATTGATTTATTTCTTTTAACAGCTTTATGATATATTTCTATCCGTTGCGTACTTGATACTATTCTTCTAGCTTCTCGATAGAAAATGTTTTGCGTTACCTTCATTACCTGAACTTGCTTCTCAGACTTCCACTTTGGGCAGGACCTAGAAATTGCCGTGTGGTTACTCTTGCTGTTTGCACACGGTGGCTCAGCAATGCAGATTTAACTGTGATGGCTCTCTACAGAGAATCGAGCACATACAGTGTTATAGGTCAAGCATGAGGAGCTTTTATCAATTAGCTGACCTTCTTTGCGCATCTTGATTCGCTTGGCAGTATAGACATTTTTGATGCGAGAGTTTAAACACGAAATCTTCTTCCGAGACAGAACGAAGGTCGACCTGTAAAATTTTTCTTTAGCAATTATTTAGTATTTTTATGCACTGAGGCAGAAGCTTCCATACTCCCAAGTTTGATTAAGCTCAGAACAGCTACGGATTGGCTAGAAGAAACAGTTTCAATTAAAAGGTCTCCTAAATGCAGTGTTTTATATTTTTCGGTTCTCTTACTCATGATTGTATATATTTTTGAATCCCAAATGGGGACATATTTTTAACTTTTTCACATCGACGTCGCCCAAAACATCCAAAATTCGGACACGGAATGGGCAAGACGCCCGAACACGTGAATCATAATCTACCTGGTGCTTTCCCCCTATCAGGTTTTCCCCATCAGGCATCATTCATTGGTTTCGGAAGTTGCTAAATGACATGCCAGTCATTCGTTTGAAGGGACTAAAAGTAGATCTGTTATTTGATTTCTTCTCCTTTGTGGAAAGTCAATGTTTAACTACTGATGCCCGAAGTCGCAATCCTGTCCTAACGGGAAACTGCACACAGTGGTGGAAGCTTATGAAAATCCCAAGAGCGAGAGAAATTGTAGCTTTACTTAAGTAGGTTATTGTGGGAGAAGGAAATCCATTGCAATAAGATTACACATATACGAACGTTTGAGGTGTTTGAGTTATAGAGACATTAGGATATTTTGGAAGCAGTAAAGATGAGAAACGAGCAATCGCCTTCCCCGGGAATCGAACAACGGACCTCTGGAATATCGGTCCAGCGTGCAGAACCTCTACACCCCGAAGACACGCTAGGAAGGCGGGAGAGATACCTTATATACTCCCCCTTTTAAAGCGTGACTGGGGTTTTTAGGGGACCCAATCGCGAAATCCTGGGTGAGGAGAATCGTCATCCAACACCCTTTTAGTT